CAATCTCTACAAAAACACTTCAACTCAAACTAATGAACCATCAAACCTATTTATAGGCTTCAAAATTAAAAAAAATAATTAGAAGGAACTATAAATAAATAATTAAAAAGTATATAAATGGTTGAATTAAATGTATCACCTTTTTAATTTCTTACATTGAATGATAGATTAAATCACATTAAGAATTATGAGCAATAAGAATATGAAAAAAAAATATGAATATAGATTCTCATTATTTTTTTTAAAAAATAAGATATTTAATAAGATACTTTGTGTTTCCATAAATAACGAATCCAAAGCAATTTTCACATTCTTATTGGTCGTGATACTAATTATTAAAGTCTAATTGACTAATTATTAGAGTCTAATATGAACATAAAAAATTTCCAAAACACTTCATTCTATATATTTGACTAATTATTAGAGTCTAATTGATTGCGATACTTCATTATTTTTCTCTAAATATTCCATTTCTCATCGGATTTAGATTAGACTAGTTTTTTTATCCGCGCTACATTACGGATTAGATAAAATATATAAAATCATTTATAAAAATTATTTGAGTTTAATATTACTGTTTAATGATGTGAATCTATAAAAATATATGAAATCAAAGGTGAAAAAAATTATTTATAATTTTTTAATAAAAATTTTTGTATTTAACTATTTCTTATTTGTGTTTTTCATAAGTTTTCCTTTAGAAAAAGGATTTATCCTTGTTAATCTATGAATTATTAACTAAAAAGAAAATTAAATAATTTTTTTTAAAAAGCTTTAGTGTTTCATAAGATTGTGTCAAAAAACAAAAATAACAATTATTAAAAGCTTACATAAAATTGAACAAATAATTTTTTTTATTTTTATTTAGTATTGATGAGAATATCAAGTTTTGAAAAAATGTGAATTTAATTTTTATATATTTATTTAAAAAATAATGAATAATATTAAAATGAAAAACTATATTGATTTGAATCATTGAGTGGTTAAGCCAAAACATAATTTTAATTATTTAATTTAAAATAAGTTAATTTTAAAATATTCAAAAATAGATAAATGAATAGTAAATGCTTATTGTATTAGTAGTGTGCACAATTAATTTCTAAAAAACAACAATTCAATTTTTTTTTGCACATCATAACTATACTAAACGAGTTTAGAGTTTTCGATCTAAAATAAAAAAATACTATAGAAAAAAGTTAACTTGCTAGGAATCTATTGACTAAAATAAAAATTATTACAAATTTGATTTCGATTAATTTTGATTATATAAAGAAGAAACAAATTAATAAAATATGTGAATTTTTTTCTCCTTCTTAAATAATTTTTTATTTCTATGCTATGCATGGCTAGTCCTTGAGTACAAGCCTCACGCGTAGAGCAACCATCTTCGTTTATTTTTCACATTTGACTTTCAACTATTAATTAACTAATTTGAGTTTTTTTCCCTAAAAAGTTCTAGAAAAAATTATTTGAAATACATTTTTAACCTAAAAATATATTTAAGATAAAATATATATATTAATCATGCCACTATAATTTAAAAATGATCTAAATCTATTTTTCAAAAGAAAAATAATCATGTTCTAAAAATTTATTCCAATATCTATAAATATAGAAAAATAAATCAAAATTGTCAATGAATATAATTTTAAATTAATTAGATGAGAATTTTTTTTTTAAATGACAAACTAAAGTAGCAAATTTTAAATAATAAAAATAATTAACAAAAAAATACTAAAACAAAATTGGACCGAATCACAATACAATTAAAGTTTGAAATTGAAAACAATTAACGAGAAAATTGAAGACCATATAATTTTAAATTAATTGGATGAGAATTTTTTTTAAAAATGACAAATTAAAGTAGTAAATTTTAAATAATAAAAATAATTAACAAAAAACACTAAAATAAAATGAGACTCGAATCATAATACAATTAAAGTTTGAGATTGAAATAAAAAAATAAAAAACATTGAGGACTAAAAATGTATTTCGGACAAATTATATACATTAATCATGCCACTATAATTTAAAAATTATCTAAATTTTTTTAAAAATAATAATCATGTTCTAAAAATGTATTTCAAAATTCATACATGTAGAAAAATAAATCAAAATTATCAATAAATATAATTTTAAATTAATTTGATGAGAATTAAAAAAAAGATAAATTAAAGTACTAAATTTAAAATAATAAAAATAATTAACAAAAAATAGTGAAACAAAATAGGACCAAATCACAATATAATTATAAGTTTGAAATTTTAAAAAAATAGAAAAATTGAGGACCAAAGTGTTAGAAAAATGTCATAAATAGTGAAAGAAATAGTGATATATGAATGTATGAATAGTGATTTGTGAGTATATGAATAATGTTATAAATAATAAACTATCATTTTGCTTTAGCGTTTTTTATATGAGATGACTTTCGTTCATTTAAATACAAGAATTAGGAGGAAAAAATATGTAATTTAAAATTACAAAAATATAATAAGTAGAAACTAGAAAATATCAATATTCTCGACTTATTTATCTTGAGTTAATAAATTATTGTTATTATTATTTGTGAACAAAGAATTTATGTTGATGGAACGACATCACCAACCCTTGAACTTGCATCCAATGGGGGCAACAAGGGCGACGAGTCACGGTCTAAAATATTGAAGTCTACAACAATGATATTTACCTCCGGCACAGAGTGCAAACTACGTTAAAATGAAGATGAGAAAAATAAAATAAATCAATAAAAGCGACAGATACACAAGACCAAACAGGTAAACACCATCCACGTCAAAACAAAAAAAACTTTGAAATTTCAAATCAAGCGCTCGAAACACTTAACACATCCTACGGCAAATGTGTGACTAAACGGAATATTAAAGGCGACAGATTGGAGTGGGAGCAAGGAACGCATGCACGTGAGCTAACCCAATTCCAACTCCAAATCAATGAAGAATAAAGAAGAAAATGGGTTTTTTTTTTAAGTAAAAATAAAAAACCAAAGTACTATAGTATAGAATTGAAATGTGAAAGATTGGTATTTGGTAGGTCACGGAGAATGTCATGTTCCCTTTTAAAAACCATAGGAGCAGCTACCCTTTTTTTCCTTCAACAATATAAGGCTGTTCTTAGATTAATTTTTGAACACTTCAAGATTAATATCTTCTTAGACATGACTAAAATAGATTTTCTAACGTATGATCTTGGGTATTCTAAAAATAAATTTTCAAGAATACTTTTCTCAAGGATTGAACTCTGGTTTTTAAAGTGTTGATCACAAGGATTGAGCTCTTGATCGAACATTCTTCGATGTATGGTTTCAGATATTTTGATAATAAATTCTCAAAAATGCTAATCACAAAGATTGAAACTTGTACCCGACTTGTAGGCCAAGTCCAGAGTTTGATTATTGTGGCTAATACTTCGAAAATTTATTCTCAAAATACTTGAGGTCGTGTGTTGAGGAGTACTTTTTAGCCATATTAAGAAAGAGAAATTAATATTAAAATGTGCAAAAACTGATTTAAAAACACTCTTATTGTTGAATAAAAAAAATAAAGAAAATAAAAGACTGGTAGGTGTCTCCTATGATTACCGATCTACACATACATAATACAATGTAAAATCAATTGCTAGAGAAACTTGAATATTTTACAAAATCTTTCTTATTAAATGATAATTGATGTGTTATTTTTTTTTACATGGAAACATTTTCAAATTATATAAGATACTTGAATACATAATACAATTATAGAATGTATTAACTCATAAATCATCAATGAGAGTTGCCTTATCACTTAGCAATTAGTTTCTATTATAGAATTTGACGGTCAAACCACAAATTTTAGATAAAATGATGAATCTAGCTATAATATTGAATCAATTCTATCCGAACATTGATTTCTAAAACTAGTAAATTACCCGTGTAAATTTTGATTCCAACACAAATAAGGGAAAATATTTTTACAAATCACAATATTCATATCAATGTATCTATAAAAAATTAAACCAAAAAAAAAAATGGAGAACGTGCGTAAGGATTACTTAGGATGATGTAAAGTTTCACATAACATACGAGTAGTAGGAGCAGTATATATATAACATAGTAATAGTCAAACAGAATAATAATGTGTTTTGATGTGGAAGATGGGTTACAGTGTCGTTGGCCATTCATTACAATCCATCCATGTCATGAATTTCAGCGTTATTTTTCTTTAGTTCAAACTTTCCTTCATAGCCGCGCACTAAAGCAAGAATCCGTTGATGCAAATTAATTAATATATTTATTTTTCCATTGTTTTTTAAGCACCCATTATTCATTCTCTCTTTCTCTCTCTTACTTGCCAACAGGTGGTAGTATCCCATTTCAAAAAAGTTGTGAGAGTAATGAGTGTGAGAGGGAGAGGGAGAGAGAAAGAGAAAGAGAAGAGATTATTTTGCTCACAAGTTCCGATCAATCTTTCTGCAGTGTACTCAATAGAGAGTAGTAGAGGAGGAGTCGTAAATATATCTTACTTGTTTTTGCCTGCCCCTCTCTGTCTCTACATCTCTTCCTTGCTTCTGTAAGTAGATTTGATTTAGATCTATATATCTACGCTTTCATGTTATACAGTTCCTAAGTAGCCAGCGAACGTTTCAATCCCTTTTCCTTTCCTTTATTGTTTGTTGTTTGAAAATAAACAAAACATATATAGTAGTGAAAAAGAAGAAGTTGATTGCGAGTCTAGAATCCAAGAGAGCTCCGTTTGAACCAAACAGTAATACTACTACCACCGCTCCTCCATTTTGTATCCATCCTTGTAAAAGATTACAAAAAGAGAGACTTTTCTTTTCTTTTTTTGGGTGTTAAAAGAAAGTTTGGCTTTATTTTATAGCGTAACATAGCGTGCGAATTGGTATTGATAAAGGTGGGGAGCGCGAAGCCTGAGACACACACACACACTCTCACTCACATAAACAAATTTAGTGATCGAGAGAGAGAGAGAGTGATTAAGTAAAGAATGCAAGCAACAAAAAAGTCGAAGAAGAATGTATATGGAAATCATGAAGAAGAATCAAAGAAGAAGGAGAGACATATAGTCACATGGACTCAACAGGTAATTGATCAATTAATTCCCTTTTCTTGTTCTTATTTGTTTACTGGATAGTAAGCATTTACCTGATTGATTTGTTGGAGTACAGGAGGATGATATACTTCGGCAGCAGATTAGCCTACATGGGACTGAAAAGTGAGAACAACCAAATTAATACTGCTCGTGTTTTTGTTTTAATTGTTCTTCTAGAGTGGTCTAAATAAATTGAGGGGTTTTGTGTGTTAATGCAGCTGGGCGATCATTGCTTCTAAATTCAAGGATAAAACCACAAGACAGTGTAGAAGAAGGTCAGTGGGTTATCGCACCATATATATTTATATATATCCTTACCCTGCTCATCCTCTCTTCTGTAATTTGGCCCTTATAAAGTTATTATTTACTTCAGATGGTACACATATTTGAACTCTGATTTCAAGAAAGGCGGATGGTCACCAGAGGAAGATATGCTCTTGTGCGAGGTACTCTTGTTGTGTTCTTTATGGTATACTATAACTCTGTCTTGTCTTCTTTTTTCTTCAAATGTATTTAACGGGAAAAGGTTACTACATTTTGCAAAGTCAAAACTATGGTTTGATTTTCTGCTTCATTATTGATTGTTCTTGTCAGTAATTAAACATGTTAAGTGGTCCTGCTTCCAAAATGTTTTGCAGGAACAGTCTCTCAATTTCAGCCGAGATTTTTTTTTTTTTTTTGGTTATTTACTGCGTCTGATAACTTGAGTTGATCTGCAGGCACAAAAAATATTTGGAAACAGATGGACAGAAATTGCAAAGGTTGTTTCAGGCAGGTACACAATGTTTTTGCATGCCACTCTTCTCTGTTCACATATTTTTGTAATGATTTAATGCTTATAATACCCTAGTTTAAAAAATACGGTACTTCTGCAGAACGGATAATGCTGTGAAGAACCGCTTCTCCACTTTGTGCAAGAAGAGAGCAAAATATGAGGCTTTAGCGAAAGAGAACAAAAACACACATATCAACTTAAATAACAAAAGAATCATATTACATAATGGGCTCAACACAGACGGAGCACTGGAAAAAGGTCCTCTATTTAAGAAAATAAGGTACAATGGAGTTTTGGTATCAGCAGACAATAGTGATTGGAAAAGTAATTAGCAAGTAGACCTCATGTTTGTTTAAATGCAGGAAGTCCCACATCCCTAGTCTTCCAAGAAACTGCAACTTTGGTGACAGATCACACCCACAATGTGGAAATCCGCAACAGAGACCTCCATTTGCAGTGTTGGCCCAAAACTTCCACAATATTAACGCGGCTGACCAGCATCATGTCAGCAGTTCCAAGGAAGTCTCCATTGATGGTAAAGCACCTCCAAGAAAGACCTCCCAATTAGGATGTGTTTGTTTTTTCTTTTGTTTTTGTTTTCGTTTTGTTTTTTTTTTTGTTGGGGGGGGGGGGGGGTAAAATCTGGGGCTGAGAGGCTTACACCCTACACAAACGAGGTTGAGATACCCCTGCTTCATCCTGCTGAAGCAAAAAAGAAGACCCCTTGGGGTTGAAACACTTGTTGAATGCCAATATCAATCTCTACGTCTCCACTAGCAAGCCAATCTGCACACCAATTTTGCTTCTCGATATTTACGACTAATCCTGATGCTATAATCCCTTTGCTGAAGTCAAAAAAGTTCCTGAACAAGAGGATCAGTCGCCAAACTGCTACCTTTTCCGTTTAAAGTATTGAACACCGCCTCTGATAACTTCTACTCCAACTTTCTTACACCTCTTATGCCATGCAAGGTCTATCCCCATGCAAACTCCCACAATTCAGCTTTCAAAGCATTAGGTTTTTCAGCTTTACAAAACAGTAGGATACAATTCAGCTTTACATAACCGGGGCTTTTCGACAGAGACAGCCAATAACATGCCTAATCTATCATCTTTATCAATTTAGTTTGTGTTGATTGTTGATCATCTCTGTGATAAATCTTTAATCTTCAATAATCTCTTTCCTTGCTGTTCATTTAGCAGCTCAAAACAGTAGGATTCAAGGAACATTTCTCAAAAAGGATGATCCAAAGATAACTGCTCTAATGCAACAAGCAGAGCTTCTCAGTTCACTTGCATCAAAAGTTAATGAAGAAAATACAGACCAGAGTCTGGAAAATGCTTGGAAGGTGAGCTTTTGTTTTCTACATCCAAATATCCAATGCACTTGACCACTTGTTTAGGTGCAGTTTATCCATTGACCTTCAGTGTTATGGAGAAAAGCATAATTAATTATTCTGTCAAAATAGTTTTTCCCTAAGATCTATCAAATTCCTTGTTTGGCCAAGTATATGCTGTAACATGGTAAGTTGAACTGATTATGTTGATCCCAAAGACTCAGTACAATAGTACCCTAAAGTGGATTCCTCCTTGACTCTTATTATGCACACAGATTTTTCTTCTGTCCTCATAAGTTTATAAAACATGACATTCAGGTTCTCCAAGATTTCCTGAACCGGAGCAAAGAAAATGATCTTCTTGGACAAAAAATCTGTGACATTGATTTTAAACTTGAAGATTTTAAAGACTTGATAGAGGATCTAAGGAGCAGTAACGATGGAAGTCGACCATCTTGGAGGTAATAGAAAGAGAAGGATTTAATATTTGGGATTAAGCATGTTTTAAGGATTTAATATTTGGGATTAAGCATGTTTTACTCATCATAAAGTGCCTAATTGATGGTTAAAATGCTGCAGGCAACCTGATCTATATGAGGAGTCTCCAGCCAGTTCTGAATACAGTACAGGATCAATTCAATTGCCATACGCAGCCCCTGATAAAACAGAACAAACTAAAGTTGAGATTGGTGCAATGCGTAAGGATATTGGAATTGAATTGCAAATGGTTCATATAGATGAGGAGAATTTTGTGGGGGCATGTGATAAAGAAATTATTTCCAGTGCAAATATAACCCAAGGTAATGAACTTTCATGTCTGATAGGATGGGTCAAATTTATTTTTCTTTCTTGTCTTGCGGAGGTTAAAATACCTTAAAACTACATCTTCTGATGAATTTAAATGTACTGCAGTGGAGATGTTTCCATCCTGTGATGCGCAAACAAAAGACAACATAGTTGTTGCTGCCCCATCAATTACAGAGTTCAGTTCCCCTCTTCAAGTTACCCCACTTTTCAGATCCTTAGCAGCAGGAATTCCCAGCCCAAAATTTTCAGAGAGTGTAAGTCAACTTTGACCATCAATTCTACCAGCTATTAATTCATTAGTTCTAATTAAGTGGTGCACGCTCCCTAATTGCTATTAGTATCAGGAGTGTTTGTCTAAAGATTAAGCCTCTTGTCTCATTTGGCTTGTAGGGTTAGAGCTTTCCACTAGGCAAGAGCATTAGAACTATAAATGATTATGACTAGTTCCAGCATATTTAGTTGTAGAAGTAGTGCAACTTGAGTCTACATTACTGCTGATTTTAGGGGTAGTAGTAACTAGAAGTGGAGGATTAGTCATTAACAAAACGCCAGCAGCAAAAGTACTGATTTCCTTTTTTTTTCTTTTGTGGAGACTGTTATAAAGCTAACAATCTAAGAACTAAAAGGGTCTGAGGTTGTTACTAATAATCCATACTATTGTGGGGACTCTGAGTTTGTTGTGGTCGCTCATGCATTAGTGTTAGCAGTAAGGGTAATAGCACTTTGTGTTGGCTAATTATCAATTGTTAATTGATCTCTAATGTGATGATAATCAAGTTATTATCATGAATTCAAAAATAGGTGGCAAGCCATTAAGCTAGTAGGAGATGATGTTCCTATGGATCTGCTGATCGTGAATTAAATTACTAGGACTGTTTGATGACTATTGATTGTGCAGATCACAAACATAGCAGTAGTAGCTGTTGCATATATAACTATTCCAGTATAAAGTCATTAATTCCATTTATCTCATAACCTAGACACACTTTTAAACATTAATACCGCACTCCACCTTTATGAAATTATCTAATTCAACCTGAAGCCAAAGTTTCGAATGCACAAGCACAATTGTTCTACAAAATCTTTTGTGAGCTTCGACAAACTTCCACTGCAAGTAAAGTTAAATTGTTATTGAAACCAATTTTAAATACCTTTCGTTGATAAAATAAAAGGAGAAATGTGCTTTAGATCTATGTAGTGCAAGCCTCTTACCCAGCAACATCACACTTCCAAACTGTATGCACACTACATATCTAATCTGCATTTATATTGAATAGGATTATTGAGCACATGCACGCCTGACACATTTTGTGTTGTCCTATTTGTCTGTTTTCCCAATAAATTTAACTTTTACTGTCAATTGAAAGGAAATCAAACATCATCATATCCTCATAGGGTAAGTTTGTGACATTACTTGTAAGAGGTAAGAGGTAAAATATTAAACCAAAAGGCACTCTAAACAATCAGATAAGTAATTATATTTGAACAACTGGGAAAATGCTTTTCTAATTCTTATGTGTCATAAGTGCTATCTGACCAATCTATTCATTAGAATAGCCTGTCAAATTCCATATACACTAGGAAGCTCAACCAGATCTTATGTTTGAGATGCTACCCAGAAAATGCTGTGATTGGACCATTATCCACTGATGTAAAAGGTTAAATGTACTTTTATGTGAAGCTTATTTCCTCCTGCCAGTCAATCTAGGTTGATCGTTCTGCATTTGCAAGCATGCTGTGCAGAATGTATGGGCTATGGGCAATACTAACTAGACTCCAAGTATGCCCGCATCTTTACAAACGCAATGGATGTCACAATCATTATGATAGCTCAAATCATTCCCTTATCTTTAGCACTTAAGGGCCAATTTATAAGAAAGATTCACGGGATTGCCATTCTGCAATCAGCATGGAGATCAAGTAGAGTTAATTGCCAAATGCAACCACAGATGTTCTCATATATTCTTTCTTTCTTTAGTTTTTTCCTTTTTCTTTTTTTTTTTTTTTTGGTACGACTTCTAGCATTATACAAGCGCATATTTGCTCGTTGTAAGTAGATTGGATATTTTTCAAATTTTGATGCAAGGCTAACCAATTCTTTGGCGACTTTTCTTTTCAGGAGAGGAACTTCCTACTAAAAACACTTGGAGTGGAGTCTCCTTGCCCCAATCTAAGCATCAATCCTTCTCAACCACCCCTGTGCAAAAGGGCCCTTCTGCAAAGTCTATAGCAAACCTCTCCGATCTATCTCATATAAGGGACATGATCTAGCCCATCGTATCTCTTCTTTAATTGCACGGGACCGTATAACATTTATTGAGGTGTGTTTTCTGTTGTTTACTATCAGTTCCTAGGATTGCAGCTATCATTGCCTGAAGTTTTATAAAGAGGCATATTGGGATCTGCATTCCAAGACAGGATCCCGGGCTAGAATGTTGCGGTGCATTCTAGCGTCTCGGACACATCTAACAACGTGATCCGAGGTCGGTTTTCTTTTTGCCTACTAGAAGAGTACTACTCTAATACTCACGTAAAAACCAGTGTGCTTGTTGGGTGTCATTCTTTTGTTTGCCTTGATTTGGTTTCGGGTGTTCTGCCTTCTCATCCAGTTTTTGGCCTTTGATTTGCCATCTGTACAGACCCTTTTATGTAAGTCCGTAGTCAGAGTGTAATTAGATACAGGCAACTCGCCTACATATGATTAAAGAAACAGAGGGAAAAAGAAGAAAAAAAAAGGAGGATTAACCAGCTGATTGGATTCCTATTTGTTGTTTTTAGGTGTGCAAAGGGTATAGAATAAGTTTTCTGTTATCTGATGTAGGGACTATAACTCGATGTGATTGCAATGGAAATTTTTCTAGTTTTTGTGTGCATGTCTTATTTTGTCTACTTTCTCTTCTTTGAGTTATTGCATTTGTCAACTCTAATCAAACTCTCTGAAAAAGAAGTGTGACAATTCTGCATCAGAGAGTAGGATAAAAACAGAAGCTCGAAAATGAACATTTCAGTATTTCTCGACCTTCATAGTTCTTCGGAGCAAGAACAAAACGCAAAAGAAAATGCCACCATAGATAAAAGGAGAACTAGGATACCTGCGCGACTCACGCTATTGCAGTTTCTTCTTCTGCTCTCTCTCCATTTCTTCCAGGAACCAGAGATTCCTTTCTTCCCTGACAAAATGCAAGAAACTGAAGAAGAGAAGAAAAGGAAATGGGAATGTTCTTACCCACATAGGATGGAAAAGCAACTTGTGTTGATGTAGCGGCATCAAAGAAAGTCTCCAGATCTCCATGCTCTCTTTTTCATCAGTTTGTTTTACTTGTGTTGTGGGGGAAGATGGGTTCTAAGGATTCTGTTATATGATATGGTGGACTAATAGTGGTGGTGGTGGAGGACATCTGGAAATGTGTAATGATGACCAAAGCAAAAGGCACAAGTAAAAATGGTTAAAGAAGAAGAGGGAACCTCATACAAAATAAAGTGCACACTCATTGGCTATAACTTTCCGAGAGAAGGTTTAGTTGACTATTTTGACCACTTTGTCCACCTAAATTCAAATGGGATCATGATCTTCTTATTGAGGAAGACTGAGCTCACTGATTTTTTTTTAAAATTACCCTGCTTAACCCATAGTACCTGTGCGGCATAATTCACATCCATTGCCATTTGAGATTAATAGCAATGCTTTGAAGAATGCCCCCCGGGGGGGGGGGGGGGGGGGCGGCGGTGGAGACGACACACAACTTAATGGTTTTGTTACAAGAACATTTCATATTTTTCTCTCACAAACATATATATATATATAATAGCTTCATTTTTGTCACAATCCATCAGAATAGTTTTAGTAAAAAAATAAAAGAAATTATTTGGTATTTTTATTTTAAAAATAAATTTAGTTTGCTTATAAGATGAAAATAAACATTATAAAATATTGAAATAGAAACATGGTAATAAATAAGGTGATAACTTTTTATATTTTCAAATCCATTTATAAGGTAATTCTTTCCTCACTTTCATGCTATTTTCTCTTTTATTTTTCATTTTTCTTTTGAAAATAGAAGTAAAGTAAGATGGAAAATTTAGACGAGGAAGGAAATATTTTCGTAACAAAAAGCTATTGAGTTGAGGATGGTCAATATTGGTCAAGGAAGTATTTAATTATTCTGAAACTAGAAGGACCAATTAATTAGTTCTAATAAACTATAAGGACTAAGTTATAATTAATTCGGATGTTGCTCTTGGCAATTATTAAATGATGAAGATGTATTTTCTAGGCCAATCAACTTACCTACTCATTATTTTATGGGCTTATAGGTTTCGATAGGGCTGTGGCCTGGTAAGCTTTGGCCCAAATAAACTACGTACTCTGTCTGTTCTAGAAATGGAATCGATCACTTTTTATCCCAGACAAAAGAAAGCAAATTGAACATCTTGTTCTACAATACCATAAAAGCTTTATAAGATAGAATATGCACATAAAACTCGGTCACTGTATCTGCTGCGAAAAGCAAGTCGGAGGCCTATTTAGGAAGGAAAACCAAATGCAATCCTCAGAACCAACAAATCCCGAAACATGCCACCAAAAAAAAAAAAAAACATAGAGGCAGTTGTCAAATCAATCCAACATTTTGACATTTTTTCGGCGAATTTTGCAGGCAAAGTGCAGAAATCTGGAAAATCTAATACCTTCAGAACCTCTTTGCGGTCATATTGTACTCCGAATGTCATCCTAAGAAAATCTTAATGCTTTAGGAAGGAAAGCATTTCTGAAAATGACTAAAAGTGTGTTTAAATTGACCATATAAGAATTGACAAGCTCTCTATCTGCTATCTGCACAAGCAAATGTATCCCTGACCTTCAATCACCTTTAATTATGACCTATCTGAATTGGAAAATCAACAAGGAGCGATGGCATAAATCTGTTTGGTAATTCAGACCATCTACAGTAGTATAGACAATAAGGAAAACAGAAAGAAATGGATATTCGTTAAATCCAACAAACTTGCGGAACTAAAACAATTTTCCACTTGCAAAGTTACAATTCCAATTGCCAATTCTAAACCATCCCACAGAACTAAAGAAACCTGGACAAGCCATTCCTTTATGCAAGATATCGATACAGTTTTCTGTCCACACTATCCCTCTCCAAGAAATCCCGTTCAATTAGGGATTCAATGCGTTTCTTAATCTCTGTAGGGTTGGCTAGGAAACGTGACTGCAATTGCTTTGTGACCTCGGTGATTATATTGTTGTGATCCAATACCCTCCTCGACTTCATAATCCTAACTATTGCAGCCTCTATCTGAGGCTTACGATCCTCCTCTACTCTCTGCCGCGTCTCCAGCTTTTCAGGTTCTGATTCCTTTTGTGCAACTACAGTTCCTATCTTCACCTTATAGAATTTGCTTGTGAATTTGTCATTAACAAAAAAAGCATCTTCCTCACCAATGTCTTTACTCATGGGTTCTTTGCGAAGAACATTCTTTCCCTTCACACACGCCATGGATTGCAGGCACCTCTTCAAGTCTGCTGTTGGAATCTCAGTTGCCTGCTCAATCTCTTTGTAGCTAAGCCTGTCAGCATTATTAAACAGCATGAGAACACACATTTGGTAAGTGGAGACATTCAACTCATGCTTCTGACCCTTCCCAAAGGTTGCTTTAATGTCTGCTGTGCCCATATTAGTTTGCCATGATAATCTCCGACCAGTATGGGTCCCAAGGTAATATGACCTGAACTTCTCACATAGTGCTGACATTTCTGCAGGCAAATTGCATGTAACACCAGGCTGAGTGGGCCAAGACCCTGTTGTCAAAACCTGAACAACCAGTGTCGGTCCATCCCCTAGCTCCGGTTGGCTTGCATAAAAACCTTGCATTGTATCCTGGGAGGTTTTCATGTCTGTAAACATGCCTTCTAATTTTGAAGTGAATTGGTATCCACATTCTGTCTTAAGTTTGACTATCAGACTTCTCTCAGCATCATCAGAGACTGTTTTCCCTGACAACAGCCGCTTTGCCAAATGCTGCTTATAATACTTTTCGAATACATCTTTCTCCTGCAAATAGCGGAACAGCATCATCACCTTGTCAAGAATGATCTCCACATCCTCCTCACTAACTCCTTTTAGACCTTTGCGAAGTTTGTCGTCCACAAACAACGAAATGAACTCAGGAGAGCGAGCATTCAAATTGATGAAATATTCAAAAGAGGAGTTCAAAGCATTCTGGAATGTCTTGTCATTGTTAAATGCATTGCTTATGATGCTATCATACTTATCTTTTTCATCCAACAAACGCTGAACAAATTCCACTGGATCCTTCAACCTTTCTGGATCAGTAACAAGTTGCTTGCCAGTCTCCCTGAGATGAGACGTCATCACTTCTCTTATTGTTGAAAGGCCATTAGGAACCCGGCGGAACAGGTTGTACATCCGTCCCAAGTCTTCATATTTATCATCAAGAAGCATATTTACCAAGCCTGAATTCTCCATGTGGACTAGTCTCAGCATGTGATTAGCAATCATCTCTTTCTCCACCACATTAGTTATCTTGACTTCACTCTTGGAATCCAGATAATGGGTCACTCTCTCTATCTCTTCATTTAAACGTTTCTCAGCTTTTTTCAGATAATCACCACAATCACAGCACTCAATGAACTTCTGAGATTCACCCCTATAAAACTCGGCTGAAACCTCAAGAAATGGCTTCTCAAAGTCTTCTTGGTAAACAGAAGGACCTAAATCCATTAACATCTTGACAATGTTTCTCATCAACCCTCGGTCAATAACTTCACCAGTCCGTTCCCTATGAACTAGTTCAAGAAGTGTATTTTGAAGCCTTGTCTGAATTTTGCTGGAGTGTATTATATTATCCCTCCACAAGTTAAGCCCAAGTTCATGAACAGGGGTTTTATGCGCACTTGGAATATACGTCCTGTCCATATACATTAATATGTCCCTGATCATTTGCAATGCTTTGTTATGATCATTCCATTTCCTGTTCAGCTCCTCCAAAAATGAATCCCCCTGAGCAGCCTCGATAGATTTCGATATTTCTCTTAGATGTGAAGTCATAGTTGCAACCAGACCATTGTACAACTTCTCGCCAAATTTGTGTAGCACCATATTGTAGGCATTCCTAAAACCATAAAAAAACACGTTACTTAGAACACAACAAATGTATAAAAATGTCAAAGGTTTTGACAAGATAACTAGCCAAACATTAAAAAACGAGGCAAACTAGAAGTAAGATATTAACTGGAGCAAACT